TCAGCTAACAATATAGTTGTATTATTGCTAATATAAATGGATTATTTAATACTCTACATTTTCTTCATTTCGTCATGTCTGGACGCATTGTGCATTGTTTGCAGGTGTGATGTATAACTGAGTTTTGTTTAACGTCGCTTTGAATAGTATTCAAGGTTTATCGCTGAGGGTCTGCTTGATGAGGGAGGGGAGCCCGAAGTGATGCAGGTCGTTTCCCACTCTAGTACTGATAAACCTTGAAACACATTGAACCATAGAGTGAGTGAGTATGGTTTTACGCGCTTTTAGCAATATTCCAACAATTTCACGGAGGGGGACATCAGAAATGAGCTTCACAAATTATACATTCACGGAGATCTACTTCTCATCAACCAATCCATCCATTTATATTCACCAGAAATCGACTTCTCACCAACCAATCCATCCACTTATATCCACCAGACATCTGCTGTTCATGAACCTTGAACCTCTTATATTCAACAGAGATCTACTTTTCATCAAACGCAATCGGTAGAAACTGTGTGTCTTGCAAAAATGACATCTCATTTAACCTACTTACATATGTCACTTGTTTGCGTAATACGTATCACCTAATTGCATAATGAATGATTATGTTATACCAACATGGCAACAATGTACTTATACAGCGGAACGCCTACCACAAGCAGTTCACTTTGGATCATTGGTTTTTATATGTTTCTCCGTAACTCTCACCGACAACTTTCCGCGACATTAGATCATTATGTGGAAATCGGATATCTCGAATATTCGTCTCGAACAGCGTATCTATACTTTGTTTTGAGAAAACATGTTATATCACTGTGTATAAAAACGCCTAAAGTAGGGTGAGTTTAGATTTACGCCGCTTTTAGCAATATTCCAGCCATATCACGGTATGAGACACTCAAAATAGGCACTGAATAAAATAATAATCAGCTAACAATATAGTTGTATTATTGCTAATATAAATGGATTATTTAATACTCTACATTTTCTTCATTTCGTCATGTCTGGACGCATTGTGCATTGTTTGCAGGTGTGATGTATAACTGAGTTTTGTTTAACGTCGCTTTGAATAGTATTCAAGGTTTATCGCTGAGGGTCTGCTTGATGAGGGAGGGAGCCCGAAGTGATGCAGGTCGTTTCCCCACTCTAGTACTGATAAACCTTGAAACACATTGAACCATAGAGTGAGTGAGTATGGTTTTACGCGCTTTTAGCAATATTCCAACAATTTCACGGAGGGGACATCAGAAATGAGCTTCACAAATTATACATTCACGGAGATCTACTTCTCATCAACCAATCCATCCATTTATATTCACCAGAAATCGACTTCTCACCAACCAATCCATCCACTTATATCCACCAGACATCTGCTGTTCATGAACCTTGAACCTCTTATATTCAACAGAGATCTACTTTTCATCAAACGCAATCGGTAGAAACTGTGTGTCTTGCAAAAATGACATCTCATTTAACCTACTTACATATGTCACTTGTTTGCGTAATACGTATCACCTAATTGCATAATGAATGATTATGTTATACCAACATGGCAACAATGTACTTATACAGCGGAACGCCTACCACAAGCAGTTCACTTTGGATCATTGGTTTTTATATGTTTCTCCGTAACTCTCACCGACAACTTTCCGCGACATTAGATCATTATGTCGAAATCGGATATCTCGAATATTCGTCTCGAACAGCGTATCTATACTTTGTTTTGAGAAAACATGTTATATCACTGTGTATAAAACGCCTAAAGTAGGGGGTGAGTTTAGATTTTACGCCGCTTTTAGCAATATTCCAGCCATATCACGGTATGAGACACTCAAAATAGGCACTGAATAAAATAATCAGCTAACAATATAGTTGTATTATTGCTAATATAAATGGATTATTTAATACTCTACATTTTCTTCATTTCGTCATGTCTGGACGCATTGTGCATTGTTTGCAGGTGTGATGTATAACTGAGTTTTGTTTAACGTCGCTTTGAATAGTATTCAAGGTTTATCGCTGAGGGTCTGCTTGATGAGGGAGGGGAGCCCGAAGTGATGCAGGTCGTTTCCCACTCTAGTACTGATAAACCTTGAAACACATTGAACCATAGAGTGAGTGAGTATGGTTTTACGCGCTTTTAGCAATATTCCAACAATTTCACGGAGGGGGGACATCAGAAATGAGCTTCACAAATTATACATTCACGGGAGATCTACTTCTCATCAACCAATCCATCCATTTATATTCACCAGAAATCGACTTCTCACCAACCAATCCATCCACTTATATCCACCAGACATCTGCTGTTCATGAACCTTGAACCTCTTATATTCAACAGAGATCTACTTTTCATCAAACGCAATCGGTAGAAACTGTGTGTCTTGCAAAAATGACATCTCATTTAACCTACTTACATATGTCACTTGTTTGCGTAATACGTATCACCTAATTGCATAATGAATGATTATGTTATACCAACATGGCAACAATGTACTTATACAGCGGAACGCCTACCACAAGCAGTTCACTTTGGATCATTGGTTTTTATATGTTTCTCCGTAACTCTCACCGACAACTTTCCGCGACATTAGATCATTATGTCGAAATCGGATATCTCGAATATTCGTCTCGAACAGCGTATCTATACTTTGTTTTGAGAAAACATGTTATATCACTGTGTATAAAAACGCCTAAAGTAGGGTGAGTTTAGATTTACGCCGCTTTTAGCAATATTCCAGCCATATCACGGTATGAGACACTCAAAATAGGCACTGAATAAAATAATCAGCTAACAATATAGTTGTATTATTGCTAATATAAATGGATTATTTAATACTCTACATTTTCTTCATTTCGTCATGTCTGGACGCATTGTGCATTGTTTGCAGGTGTGATGTATAACTGAGTTTTGTTTAACGTCGCTTTGAATAGTATTCAAGGTTTATCGCTGAGGGTCTGCTTGATGAGGGAGGGGAGCCCGAAGTGATGCAGGTCGTTTCCCACTCTAGTACTGATAAACCTTGAAACACATTGAACCATAGAGTGAGTGAGTATGGTTTTACGCGCTTTTAGCAATATTCCAACAATTTCACGGAGGGGGACATCAGAAATGAGCTTCACAAATTATACATATGGGGAATCGAACCCGGGTCTTCAGCGTGACGAGCGGAAGCTTTAACCATTAGGCTACCCCACCGCTCCCTTGAACCATTGAAGGTAATAAGGCTAAATATCACAATACACTTGGAACAATTATTGGCAAAAGTATCGTGTTTTGAACTATCGCAATACTACTTTGCTGACAACATATCCCTGGACAAAGCATTATGCTTCAAAGCTTGTATAAGTTGAACACTCTATAGTTGTGTATTGTGGAGACACGCGCACCCATTACACGAGCAACACGCAGAATAAATGGAAATGTGACAGACATAGCATAACTGATATGATACTGTTCCCTGCAGTTATATCTGATAACACCGGGAACTGGTGTTGGTTGTCAGCAACAGATTGCATCCATCTATTCCTCATCGACCCGTGAAGATCCGGGTGTTTTGCCGTTAGTTTGTCTAGACGTCGGTCATGCTTTTGTTTGTCGTCTGCCTGTCTGTCTGTGTTGAAGTCTCTCCGTATGTCTCTGGTCTGTCTTTTGCCGTTAGTTTGTCTAGACGTCGGTCATGCATTACTTTGCCTGTCTTTCTGTGTTGAAGTCTCTCCGTATGTCTCTGTCCTGTCTTTTGCCGTTAGTGTGTCTAGACGTCGATCATGCATTTGTTTGTCGTCTGCCTGTCTGTCTGTGTTGAAGTCTCTCCGTATGTCTCTGTCCTGTCTTTTGCCGTTAGTGTGTCTAGACGTCGGTCATGCATTTGTTTGTCGTCTGCCTGTCTGTCTGTGTTGAAGTCTCTCCGTGTGTCTCTGTCCTGTTATTTGCCGTTAGTTTGTCTCGTCGTCGGTCATGCATTGCTTTGCCTGTCTGTCTCTCTGTCTGTCTGTGTTGAAGTCTCTCCGTATGTCTCTGTCCTGTCTTTTGCCGTTAGTTTGTCTAGACGTCGGTCATGCATTACTTTGCCTGTCTGTCTGTCTCTCTGTATGTCCCAGAACTGTCTGTTGCCTTTAGTTTGTCTAGACGTCTGCCCTGTGTCTGTCTGTCTCTATGGCCGTGCATGTGTGTCGTCTGTCTCTCGCTTTTGCCTTGTGTCTATCTTCCATCTGTATCGTATGTCCATAAGTCTTTCTGATCGTCTGTCCACGTCTCTGGTCAAATATGTTCAAAAATATGTTCACAAAAAAATCGCTGAAGTGTTTTGCAGATACGTTTCATTGGATAACGTCTATTTATTATGACCCAAATTCCACTCAAGCGACCGCTCATTGTACCTATCGATGCACGCCTGTAATCTTCTTAAGGGAAAGGAACCAATTGCAACTACGTGAGGTCCTATCACGACTACCTCGACTCTTGAGATAAACCACATGGTGCCTCACGCAAAATATTTTGTTCGGAATATGCCTCTGTTCACCCAGCAGTAAATGGGTATCCGGTAGAAGATGGCAATGTGAAAAAAATATTTTAGCAAGGGATACTTGCGTAATACATACATATACCAGGAAAAGAAAATTAAATACCAAGTCCAGTACCGCAGTAATAACTTGATCTATCATGGTTCATGGTTCAGGGGGTTCGAAACACCCCCTTTGAAAATGACCAAAGACCACATTTAAGTTGATGTTTTGCATTGGCGGAGCCAAGGGGGGTGGGGGGTTGAACCCAACCCCCTGGATCCGCCCATGGGGATTCAAGGTGTTCTTCTCTTTTTTCGCGATTGGTGAAACATTTGAGTCTAATATACTACTCAAAATATGTTAAAGAACTCCCCTTTTTTTCCATATGACTCCAGCTATTCTGTGACTACACATAGCCTTCCAATCGTGGGTGTTCCTTAACTTGATTTAAGTCGAATATAACCTTCGAAAGTACAATAAAAGTTTTGTAAAGTAATATTGCTTTATTTATTTCCTCACCATGATTTTACAATAAATAAGTGTATAACATCTTGCAACAACCTACATATATCATTGGAAAGACATTTGAAGTATAAACATTCATTAATATTCATTGTTGCAAACATAGACAATTTGTATTTTTTGTTGTTCAGCTGAACAGGTCAGGACATTGCACATTCCAGAAAAAAGTATAACATATATATATATGTACAGTTTCATTTTGAGACAAAAACTTAAACATAAATCAACTTGAGCATTGTAATCACAGGTTCATGAATAAATAATTCTTGCATTAATGTCACGTTGTCACACATTCATGGGGAGGATCACACCTGTTATGTGTCACTTTCACAGGGAGTTCATGGCCGGAAGTGGGTTCGAGATTATGCTCCCTTTGAGCATGCGCTGCAACCGCATGTTTCCGGTACGTTGTAGGTCTTGGTGATCTTCCTTCCAGTACCGCAGACAAGCAGGATAGACTTGGATACCGTCTTTGCTGGCTGGCAACACTGGCATTTGTTGTCAAAGCCGCGCATGAGTGCGGTGTAGCTGGAAGTCGAGCCGCAGTAACCTCCACATTCCTTGAGTTCTGGGATTGGTTCCACGTTGGAGCAGATCTCACCGTTGTCATTGACCTTGAAGAAGCCAATGGACTGCTGGATCTGTCCGAACATCAGTCTTGGAGTGCAGGTCTGGCATACCGAGGAGAAGTTGGTTGGTAACATGCCTGCAAATACAACAATCAGAGTTTGTTAGTAAGGGCACGTTTCAAACAACCCAGATAGCATTCGGACGTTGGCCCAACGTTGGCAATGTTGGCAAAACCATTGCCAACGTTGGGCCATCGTCTGAATGCAATCTGGGAACCAAAATGTGTTGTTTAAAGCTACACCCAACACTATTTAAATATGGCTCAGGCCTAAGTAATCAACTCCAGATCTTACAAACAGGTGATCGATATTATAATCCACGGGGAGCAAACCACGGCCTCTAGTAACTAAGATATTTTCGATTATCTCGGAGACATCTGTCAGGAACTTACTCACACTCGGTAACATATTCCCTACTAATCTGAGGCAATCACAGGTAAGCATCCCATAGTGGCTCTTTGGTGTTCTTTTACAATCGTCATTGCTATACGCGATAAGCGTTTATCCGAACTCAATCACGTTCTTTGTGAGATGAATGTAGTACAATTCAACACTGCAAATCTCTTCGGGTTTTGTGTAATGATCTCCGTACTACTGAAGTAAGGTTCGTATCCACTAGATTCTTTTCACTCACAAAACGATTACATCGAATACATCGTTGTAATTACTACATCTATGGTATTATCAATCCCCCACCTTCAGGCGCGCATCTGAGACAGCATCCAGTAGAATCGTATTCCTTTTCGCTCTGTGAACACAGAATGTAAATGTCAAAGATGAAGTTCATGGAAACAGGTCGCCCTATCAACACTTACTAACGTCATCTTAACACTAAAATGCATGGCAAACGAGCAGATATTGGAGTATTTAGCTACCCCCAACCTATGAGGCCAGGCCATGTTGACATATCTAAAAGCGCTGTGCTTATTAGACAAAAGGACAATAGAGTAGCCGAGCTGTAAATGTGGATCAGCATGGTTCGATCCCTTCCATTTTGAACATTGGTGGAGACGACGATACAGACCCACAACCCACTACTTGGGCCCAAACAGGTTTAAATGTTAGGATTGAGTGCGTCACTAAGCCCATTAAGGTGAGGCCAAGGAGAAAGGAACTGAAAACGCTAATCTGGTCGAATCTGGGATTCGAACTCATGACCACCTGGACCGCGGCTCAGTAAAGTGGGGGAGACCCCTGCTACGTAATACATCTACTATTGATCACTGGATTGTCTGGTCCAGACTCAATTATTTACAGAACGCCGCAGTATAGCTGGAATATTGCTGAGTGCGGCGTAAAACTAAACTCACTCACTAATACATCAGCTGGTTATTGTACATACTCCTGTGCACTGGGGCAGCTTGTCGATAGGTTCACACTGTATTTGGGTTTGCTGGAGGATGAAGTCGCCTGTCGTTATGTCAACTGTACACATCTTCTCGAAACACTTCATAGAAGGCTGGATCTTCTCTCCGTTCTGTTGAATATAAAAATTGTGGAAAACTATGAATATATATTCATATATTCGTGAATATATATAGACATATACATTTTGACACATTCAATACCTTTAATTACTGTCCAGTGCCAATAAATGTCCATACTTAAAGATAAATTTTACGAACGTTTTGAGTCACTAAATGGTAATTGTTAACATATGATCACATCCGATTTATTGTAATGACGTTGACGTACCTTGTAAACCGTGCCGTTGACAACGCAACCAATCTTAGCACATTCTCCACAGCAGGTGCCGTCGGTCAGACGTCTCTCTTCTCCCTGGGAACATAAACAGGGGTAAATGTATCGTCGGAAACTAGTGTCATGACACTGTGTATCGATGCAACAATGAATTTAAATGAACAGTTCAATCATGTGTTACACGTAGGTTCCGGTAAGTTATGAGATTGGCATATGTCAGCTTTGTACAAGATGAAATGCTTACAGTGCCAATAGGTTAATCAAAGTAAATCTTCGAACATTCAAATCCCATATACTGTTTCGAATTAATCTTCAGCAACCCATGCTTTTCGTAAGATTCGACTAACGGGATCGGGCTGTCAACAGGGGCGGATCCAGGATTTTGGAGAAGGGGGTGCACATCAATCATGAAGTCCAAAGGTTAGGGCGAAATCCTCCACAGGGAAATATTTTTCGGGGCAAAGGGGGAGGTGCGCACCCCCGTACCTCCCTTCTGGATCCGCCCGTGGGTCGGGCTGGATTAATTGTTTGATGTTTGATACTTGTCGTATCCCTGTTGCGCAGAGCATTGCTGATGGTATTAAATAACTGCCTTAGCTTGACCAGACCCTATTATTTACAGACCGCCGTCACATGGGAATATTGCTGAGCTCAACCTTACACATAGAACAATTACATAAATCGAGGACGACTTTACTATGACCAACACTTGGTCAGTTCACTAACCAGCGTGCAGGCTGGACACTGTTGTTCCCGACATGTTGTTTCTGCAGTACTACTGGTGCTGTTGACACACTGGCAGGTCTTGCACAGACCATCCGCCCATTGCTGACCAACGGTGTGGGTCACCTCCACTGGATTAGTACGATCCACCTCCTTACCATTGGTCACCATCTTGGTCATTGAGTATCTACAGATTGGCGTGGGGATGGCTGTGGTCACCACAGGGAAGGGGCTCGGGGTGCCTGCAACTGTAGGGACAAGAATCGGATTGTAATATTTCCAGAAGGTGCAGTACATCATTAGAACCACTTTTGACGGCAGCGTGCGAAATTTATATTTAATGTAATTCAAGCGGCATGGATGTAATTAAATTATTGTTTAGCATAATCATCACTGTTTGATATCATCGTTGGCATCTACACCGAAATGTCGCATCTGTTGTGTATCCGTAAAATATATTCCTCTTCATCACTGATGTCAGTGATCTCATGTAAGTCCAGCTGTAAACTTTCAAATATTGGTATTTAAGACATTTTCAAAAGTGAAATACGAAACCCAAATATCTTGATGTTAATAATAAACAATTGTACGATGGGGAGTCTGTGCAAAGTTTTGAATTATGGTTTCAACCAGACTGATACTTGTTTTATTCTTGTCAACTATATTTAGTCAAATATATTAAGTATTGTTAAGTCTACTTACCACATGCCTTGGTTGTGCAGTTGCAGCCACCAATGATGTCCACGACCTGGGATCCCTGTAACAAGGCAGAGGCACGGCATTAGTCACATATAGTGTCTTAGTGAGACGACCTACTAAAGGAACATAAGTTCTGTTTCTGAAGCAACATAAGACTGGTATATTAAGACCTATTACAGTTGACAAGGAACCTTAAGCTTTCAGTCGAGGCTTTGTTTTGAAGGAACATGCTTGTAAGGCATTGCAGGCACTGGCATTAGAGTTTGCTGATACTTACGAAAGCACATGGTGGTTGAGTTGGAACTGGACACTTTGGTGGACATGCTGAAACAAAAGGATGTGCTATCACAATCTCTCATACATTATGTATTTACATAATCACAAATTGCCATTACCATACCCTTGGAAAATGTAATGCTTGAAAACATTATTCCAACTGCTGAAAAGATGTTTCGCAGTTGTAGGTCCAGCATTATTTCTTTTTCTCTCAATAATATTCTTTTCCCCCTATCCCAAGATGTTTGCCTTTATTGGAGCTGATGCTGGACTTTTACCATGTTCATTGTGGTAGACCATATCCAGTATCGCACAGAGACAGGAACACAGAAACTCACCACAAGTGTACTGTGGGCAGCACCTGTCGCCGCTGTCGACCATGGTGAGGATCTCGGGCTTCATGCAGTCCTTGGAGATCTGTGGACATTGACGTGGCTCACAAACAACCAGATACTCCTCACAGCATCCATCCGAGCCCTTGATGACCTTGGCGACCTCACCTTGTTTCAGTGGAGGCTGAACAAGGGGAGAGCACGTGACTTCGACACAGGCAGCTGAAACAGCAGAGTTTTGTCTGTCATACAGAGCCTGAAACGAATATATCCAAAAAGGCCTATGCAAGATTAGAATATGTCTAGATTTCCACAGTTTCAGAAAATGAAGAACGTATCTGGGTTTCTTTTCATTATATTTTATGATTTTTTTATGAACAGGTATTTTTTCTGTAAAATATATTCATTTCAGAGAAAAGATGCAAGTCTACAGCAGAGTATATGGCATGTTTTAATGTTCTCGTGACAATGTGGTTTATGGGTATCTTGGAGTTTTATCAATTAGAAGGCAGTGTGCGTATCTTCAGACACATTACACCCGTATGAGAATACAGTAGAAGTGTAAGTGCCTGACATATGTTCAGTGTTTATATCTCGAACATCAGACTTACTTGGTGTAGGCACGTGTGGTGGAAGATGAACGGTGGTGTTGGGAGCAACGCTTGTTGTCACTGTAAGAGAGTTCAGACGAATTAGTTGAAATAATATATTTCTTTTTAGTAATGACATCACATATCACACCGCTGAAAAGTATTTATTTCCGAAACGAGTGAGTGAGTTCAGTTTTACGCCGTACTCAGCAATATTCCAGCTATATGGCGGCGGTCTGTAAACAATCGAGTGTGGACCAGACAATCCAGTGATCAACATCATAAGCATCGATCTGTGCAATTGGGAATCGATGACACGTGTCAACCAAATCAGAGAGCCTGACCACCCGACAGCGCTTACTGGATATTTTCTATTTGACAATTAATTGAGCTGTCGTCGACAACATTTTGATCACATACAAACATGAACTAGGATACTTACCAATCTTATGGTGCGTGGTGTTGAAATCATTGAAATATTGTGTAGTCGACGTGGGCGTAGTTGCTTGTATCGTTGTAGATGGTTTTTGAGTGGTCGGCAGTGTGAAGATCGGTGTCGATGCTGGAACATTCGATACACGTCTGTGAGAGGTCTGAGATGATGATCTAGATGTTCAAGAACATTTCCCCCTAACACACACACACACACACACACACACACACACACACACACACACACACACACACACACACACACACACACACACACACACACACACACACACACACACACAACACACAACACACACAACAACAAACACAACACCACCACCCACCATAACATAACTGAAGTAAAGGACGAGGTCATATCTGGATAACTTACAGCATTCGAACTCATCGGTGGTACAGTCGGCGACACCATCACATCGGGCAGAGCTGGGGATACACTGGCCATTTCCGCAACGGAAGTCTCCAATTGCGCATGCCTCACACTCGCATTCGCATGTATCCTTATCCAGAACGGTTTCGAGACCCTGAAACAAACAGACGGGTTACTCAATAATCACATATTTACATCGTGGTATCCTGGTTTGAGGCGGTTGGTATAACAAACATCACGATTTCCTAATATCAAAATCAGTGAGACCCTTGAGAAACAGACATATGCTAAAATGTGGCATTATGGTTTTGGGTAACACCAAACAATCTCTTAATTGACGAGATCTTGTGGCAATCTAGAGCAAAACGTCCAAATTTTGGAATCTCGTTTCAGTTTTAAACATGGATATAGACGGTTTTGTAAATTGTTTGGTTAATACAATGTGTGAAATCATACGAAAGACAACAAGTAAATATATAATTATTATGATTTACAGTAACTGATACTGACCTCTTTGCAGTCTGGACAGGTCTTGGGGAGACACTTGACCTCGCCGCTCACACACTGGCAGGTATCACAGTTGCTGTTTTGGGTGATTTGACCAGGCTGCGGAAGGAAATAATAACCCATAACACCAACCGCAACGCATCAAGGAAGTGAATATGTATATTGTAGTCTATGGAACATCATTAAATTAACGCCTGACGTTTAGATTGGTTGGTGTCTTGTTTAATGCAGCTATATGGCGGCGGTCTGTAAATAATCGAATCTGGACCAGACAATCCACTGATCAACAGCATAAGCATCGACGTAAGTACCACTTAAAGACATTTTATCCTTACTAAGTACTCCAACATTCTATATGCCTCTCAAAGAAGTTATTTACCAGAACAACTTGTCCATCAATCATGCATGGACACTCGGCCTTGCGGACACACTTGACTCCGTCACAGAAGAAGCCGCTAGAACAACCCTCCTTGGGGCACTGACTCAGGTCCATTCCAGTGTAGCAGGGGATGAGGTTGACGTTGTAGGTGGGGGAGACAGACGGGCCGGCGGTGGGTGTGGCGGTGGGGATCTTAGACACTGGAACAGTATAGTGGTGGATGTACATCAGTGACTTGACAGACTTTTGTAAAGAGTTCTGTGTATGTCATTATTCAAACAGCAATGTTTAGACCTTCGGGGTTAGATGTTTGGACCTTATGTTTAGACCTTAGGTTAATACAGAGATCAATACTCACAACATTCCTGTGTCTGTTTCAGACAGCCAAGTCTGACCTCGTAGTCGAAGCACATTGGTTCCTTCTGATCAGCGTTGTTGCACACAAGGCCTTTCCACAAATTACAGGTTACCTTCTGACCTGTCTCACCGGAAGCGGTGTGGTCAGGGGTGGCTGTTCGGCACTCGATGCTCATTGGCTGTTGACATGTCAGTGATGCCTTCTTGACCTCGTCGATTGGTTCACGGTCGCCATTGGATGTCAGTGTCACTTGACCAAGGTTGACCCATGAGTCCCAGATGACACATCCGGCTAAAGAAAAATAGTGCATTGGCAATTTTTAATTTAATGTAGTATTTTAGCTACATAATAAATGTCATCAAAATGTAGGCTTCACAAAGTTGGTCCAAGTGTGGTATTTAACCCAGATTAAACAAGCGAACTCTTTAGCCACAAACTACACCATGACAATAAAAGGCGAGTCAGAATCACCTAGTGACGTTAGGTTACTGTAATGGACATTTAACATTGGAATACAGGAAATTCAAGTGGTTGCGCAACAGTGATAACAAATTTGCAACATTTTAAACTCAATATTACAAAGACTATATTTCTATAGTTTGGCAAGTCTATTAAAAAGAAATAAAGATCACCTCTCCGGTAATTTTCCTTTGAGTGAACACTGCTAGTTTCCATTTTATATATGAAAGTTTAATGCTTACCTGGAAGGAAGGGTGTCACTGTCTGACCTGGCGCAACGGTGGAGGAACCGATGGGTTTGCCTGTTGGTTTCAGGGGGTTCACTGGCGTTTGCGACACAGCTGGGGACAAAATCAGGATAGAAGAGTACAGGCATAACGACTGAAGTTCCTTCTTAACATGAAGGTTGATTTGGATGTATATCTGGCCAAATATTACTCTCAGCACTAAAGGTAATGTCCTTGACATTTCACACATGACCACATCGTAAACTAAATATTCTCGTTATACAGAAGTAGGTTTCCCTTTTAGGGACCTATCGACCCAACTACTACACTTTGGTCATGCGTAATTGGAGTTAACCTGAGATTCTATGATCAGCGGATCAAATCAGATAGGGGGCGCAACTCTGCTCTAGAGGATGTAGGAGCCTTAAAACCGCATGGCCTCCGTCATCTTCTATCAATAAAGGAAGTGCTATGTAGTTCTTATATCTGTACGCCACTTACTTGGGTAGCTCTCGAAGCATCCGTGGATCTCGAATCTCAGGGCCATCATGCCGCTCCATGTCTGAGGGCTGATCCTGACATAGCGGGCTCGGATTGGAGTCATGAACATGTTGGTCACAGGAGTCTCGTTGTCGAAGTTGCCGGAAAACACCTGACAATGAACAATGAGTATGGTTGTAGGATTATTCTATCGCGGTGGGGTTCACACATTGTAACCAAGTTGGGAATTGAACCCGGACTTTTGGCGTGACAAGCGCACGTTCTCACCACTAGGCTGTCCCGCTGTCCTCGTAGTGATAAGTTAGCGATTTTAATGATTATATACAATACTTGTTGAATCAAGTTCTGGAACGACTTGGATGAAAATGTAATTGAATTACTGTGCCTCAGTCCACAACAAAGCTTAACCCAATGTACCAACCTTATCCTCTCCCTTTGTCTCTCTGTAGGCATTCCAGTTGGCACCGTCGTAGGAGTAGAAGACCTTGTAGGAGGTCACGTAGCTAGGAGCAGTCGGTCGTCCCTGAGTGGTGACACCGGTGATGATTCTAGGAGCGAGGAAGTCAACCTGGATGTATTGCTTCTTGTTCTCTTCAGCAGCCAACCAGGCGCTGTTACCTCCAAGACGTGCACTGATGGCAGAGTGGAGGCCGTCGCGGTAGGAGGAGGCGGAGATCATGTCATTGCGGATGAAGCCGTTTGCCATACCCATGTCTTCTTTGCATCCAGCTGACAACACAGAGAAAATGGTTAGTTGGGTATGGTGTTTTATTTGCCTCGACAGAGAATAACAGCGCCTAAGATGATCGGGCGTCCTATGAAATAAGGCTTAGTATCTAAATGACTAACCTGGTATGTTTGGTGTTGGGCTGGCCGTTAGTTGAACTCCGGGGCTTGCTGTTGGGGTTCCACTTACTCCTTGCCCGGGGCTTGCAGTTGGGAGGCCACTTCCGGTTTGACTTGGTGGGCTGGCTGTTGGTACACCTGTGAAAGGGTAAATGATTCTTTCTTAAACAATTCACATATACACGCATGTGATCGTCCTCTTGTTTTCAATGGTGTCATTGTATTAATTTCTAGACCGAAGCTATTTATCTCTTGGGATGAGGCGTTACGTACCAGAGCAGTCACAGTGGTATCTGACTCTGTAGTCACTGCAGGGGATGGGGAAGTTGTCTTTGTCGTTACAGACGAGGCCGTTCTCAACTGAGCACTGCATAATCTCCCCAGTACTGTAGGATGGAATACTGTCTACAGTCTCGCATTCTACCTTGTCCACTTTGCCAGTGGGACAGAAATCCTGAAAACAACGGAAAAATGTATACATTACACACACTACCAAATACAACATATTCGTACAAATACATCAACACCATCCCAAATGCATCCTGCATTATTTCAAATGTACAAAGCACTCTCCCAAACACATCTTGTATCCTTCCAAATTACTTAAAGCACATTTTCAAATGTAAATGTAGAAACATCAATTGCTCCTATCAAATACACCGGACCCTGAAATACACCATTACCCTGTCATGTATCCTGACAAAGACACAAAGACATACACTGGTATGGTCTGATGCCGCTAGTACTCACAGTAAGCTGCTGCTTGGTCATAAACTCATGCTGTCCTTCTGTGGCCGTGTTGGTGTTGACCCAAGAGGACCAGGAGCTTGTCACGCAGGTCTGCTGAGGTGAAGCTGTAGGACCTACTGAAGGACCAGCAGATGGCACCAGGGTAGGAAGTACCTCCTCGGGAGCTACAAACAACAGGGTCATTTCAGCTGGGATAGCAGATGATGTCTTCTTCTGTTGCTCATTCAGATACATCACTTCATATCAGATAGAAGGGGACATGAGTGTCCATATCCTTCAAAGCGAGATTTGCTTTCCTTTGTCAAGTCAGGGTTCAGGCTTCAAAATAGACTTTCACCCGGAACATGTTCCTTGATTTGTCAGGCCATGCACTTTTAATCCAACGATTAACATCAAAGCTGTTTTATAAATGATATAATGTGCAACAGACATTGATCTCGACACTTTCAGTAAAAAGGTCCTTTGCTGATGCAATGAAACCATAGCAGCTGAATCATTCCTTCCCATTGTTACGACTACCTTGTTTTTTACAGTTCAAGGAAGTATACTTTATTACTAGGGTCCTCTGTCAGAAGTACACTACACAACTTACCTCTGCAGCCAACGATGCTGAACCTAAGAGCGATTGCTCCTTCCCACATAACTGGTTGGATTCGGATGTACTTAGCAACAATTGGGGTCAACACTGATCTCACAGCACTGTCTCCGTCAAAGTTTCCGTTGAAGACCTAGCGAGACACAACCGGAGAGTTGATAAGCTTCAAATCGTTATGCATTTAAAGCTAGAGATGAACATTTCATAAAATATTTATTTTATTTAGCCATATGTCATGCGTATTGATGTTACATTGATGATCAGTACATGTTAAATCTCCCGCTACCAGATCCATTGGATGTTCGCCTAATTAAATTCGGTTGGTGATTGCTCGTTCTGTTACGCAAAGGCCACTGAAAAAGGTTATTCTTTCGACTTTTTTCAGCGAGTGAGTATAGTTTTACGCCGTTTTAGCAATATTCCAGCACTATCATGAAGTAACCAGAATTGGCTTCACATATTGTGTACATGTAGGGAATCTAACGAGGGTCGTTGTCATACTTCGCGAACACTTAAACCACTAGGCTACCCCACCGCCCCAACGTTTTTAAGAATGACACAGATGGAAACAGTTTGATCATCCGTACAGCGTAAATGGGATGAGTCGTAACGCCAGTACCTTAGGAGTGCCTGCATTCTGTTCATAGTACTGGAAGGTCTGTCCATCCATAGAGTAAGCAATTATGAATGCCTTCACCCACTGTGATGATCCCTCACGTCCCTTGGTGATAATAGCATTGATATATTCAGGGTGGTCAAATCTGGCTTCAATCCATTGTCCTTTGTCCATTGACTTGGGCATCCAAGCTCCGATATTGAGATTGTCAGATATGGCATCAATTCTAGATCTTTGTGGTCCTGCATATGTGGAGAGACTGGAAGATGCGCTGAGATGGCTGTCCGGTACTTCTAGAGTGGCAGTGTTGGTCATTGGATTTGGGCAGACTGAAGGAGAGAAATCCCATGAGTAAATCTAGGACACATGACGTGACGTGTGGCATATTTGGAATGTGTCCTTTGTACACGGTGTAAATGTCTTCAAAACATACTTACTGAGCACTGGTGTTGTGGTTTGGCCAGCAACTGCTGTTGTCTCCATGCCTGGAGCCACACTGAATGATGATCCAGATACTGGAAAATGAGAGAACAGTACGCAGTTTCATTAAGGAACCTAATACCTATTTGAATACAAGCTTGATAGAAGGTGGATTGCCAATTATATACATAGCACTTTGAAGAAAAATATTAGCAATTAGTGAACTAGTAGTACCTGGGCTGGCTGTTGGAACTCCGCTCTGTCCTGCACTTGGACTGGCCGTTGGCTGCCCGCTCTTTCCTGTAACAACTGGGCTGGCTGATGGTTGACCACTCTGTCCTGCACTTGGGCTGGCTGTTGGGAGACCACTCTGACCTAAACTTGGACTGACTGATGGTTGTCCAAGAATACTTGGTGTACCAGTGGGAAGACCGGTCTTTCCTACCACTGGAATGGCAGTTGGAAGGCCACTACCGCTCTGTCCTGCAGTTGGACTGGCCGTTGGCTGCCCGCTCTTTCCTGTAACAACTGGGCTGGCTGATGGTTGACCACTCTGTCCTGCACTTGGGCTGGCTGTTGGAAGACCACTCTGTTCTACAATGGGGCTGGACGTTGGCTTACCACTCTGTCCTGCACTTGGGCTGGCTGTTGGAAGACCACTCTGACCTAAACTTGGACTGACTGATGGTTGTCCAAGAATGCTTGGTGTACCAGTGGGAAGACCGGTCTTTCCTACCACTGGAATGGCAGTTGGAAGGCCACTACCGCTCTGTCCTGCACTTGGACTGGCCGTTGGCTGACCACTAAGGCCTGTGCTTGGCTTTGATGTTGGCTGACCACTCTGTCCTGCACTTGGACTGGCTGTTGGCTGACCACTAAGGCCTGTGCTTGGCTTTGATGTTGGCTGACCACTCTGTCCTGCACTTGGACTGGCTGTTGGCTGACCACTAAGGCCTGTGCTTGGCTTTGATGTTGGCTGACCACTCTGTCCTGCACTTGGACTGGCTGTTGGCTGACCACTAAGGCCTGTGCTTGGCTTTGATGTTGGCTGACCACTCTGTCCTGCACTTGGACTGGCTGTTGGTTGACCACTAAGGCCTGTGCTTGGCTTTGATGTTGGAAGACCACTCTGTCCTGCACTTGGACTGGCTGTGGGTACTTTAGAGCAATCAACACCCTTTGGCTCACACAACACTCTTACTTCATAATCAAAGCATGTGCTTCCTACCATCTGCTTACTATTACTGCACATAAGACCGCTGTATTTCATATCACATGTTACACCAATCTGGCCAGATTCCAAGACGGATTTGAGTGTCTTGCTATCTCTGCATTCTACAGCTGTGATGTCTTCAGTGTTACAGAACTGGAACTGTTGTCTGAGACTTGGAAGCAATTCCATTTCACCAGTATTGTCAGGTGTGTTACTATTCATCCACTTTGTCCAACCACAGACAACTGGTGCTGCAGTTGGAAGACCAGTCTGTCCTGTGCCAGGACTTGATGTGGGCTGACCACTCTGGCCTATACCTGGGCTGGCTGTTGGCTGACGACTCTGGCCTGCACTTGGACTGGCTGTTGGCTGACCACTAAGGCCTATGCCTGGGCTGGTTGTGGGCTGACCACTATGGCCTGCACTTGGACTGGCTGTTGGCTGACCGCTCTTTCCTGTAACAACTGGGCTAGCTGATGGCTGACCACTTTGTCCTGCACTTGGGCTGGCTGTTGGCTGACCACTCTGTCCAGCACTTGGGCTGGCTGTTGGCTGACGACTTTGTCCAATGCCTGGAGTAGCTGTTGGCAGACCGACCTTTCCTGTAACTCCTGGGCTGGCTGTTGGGACACCACTTGGCCCAACACTTGGTCTTGCAGTAGGCAAAGCGGAACAGTCGCAGAACACTCTCATTTCGTAGTCAAGACACTTTCCATCTACTTGTTTCAAATTATTGCATCGGAGACCACGTATAGCATCACATGTGACCGACTGACCAGCTGCAGATGCCATCTGTTTGGTACCTGCTACTCTGCATTCAACCTTCTTCATCATTTCGTGACTGCAGACGGTGGTTTTGGTCATGAGGGAAGCAATTGATTCGATGTCACCCTCGAATGGTTTATTTGGAACAATAACATCAGGATGATCAGAGTTAGTCCATGCTGACCATCCACAGAAAGGAGGTGAAACAGTTGGCTGACCTGTTTGACCGCTAGGGATGGCAGTTGGCTGACCTGTTTGTCCGCTTGGGCTGGCAGTCGGCTGACCAGTTTGTCCACTTGGGGAGGCAGTTGGTTGACCAGCTTGTCCACTTGGGGAGGCAGTCGGCTGACCAGTTTGTCCACTTGGGGAGGAAGTCGGCTGACCAGCTTGTCCACTTGGGGAGGCAGTTGGCTGACCAGCTTGTCCGCTTGGGGAGGCAGTTGGCAGTCCAGATTGTCCAGTTGATGGGGATACGGTTGCTGAAATCACATAAATTTTGATACTTTATAGGCGCATTCCTCTTTTCCTAAACTACATTTTACGATCACGCAATCAACAAATATAGAAAATATTTAACCGTATTCATCACTGACAACCATACAAAATATATTCGAAATAATGAAAAGAGACAACTTTTAGATTTGACTCACATGCGCACGGGCAGTAGAAGCGGACCTCATAGTCGCCGCAAACTCCGCTGTTCTCCCAGTTGTAGCAGGTAAAGCCAGTAGTGAGGTCACAGGTAACCTTCTCCCCAGACTCCATTGCTGATGTCTTAGAGGATGCCTCGCGACATTCAATGCTGACGGGATGAGCACAGAATGTGTTGGTGGTTCTCAGTTTCAGGATTGATTCAACATCACCATCGCCAGTTGTTGGCTTGTCAACGTTGATCCAGTTGGTCCAATGACACTGTGGTTGAATGGTTGGTTGAACAGATGGTCCAGCTGTAGGAACACAACTATCATCCTTTGTGCAGACGGCAGCGTTGTTGAAACAGTGGCACATTGAACACTCATCAAGAGGGTTCTTGTAGAACTCGAAGGGCTGAAAACCAATATACCGAAAGGTTTCAAGATATGTCCTTTTTTTATCTCAAGAGTTACTAGATTAAATAACCAGGGCCTATATTTTCGAAGCTCTCTTAGCGCTAAGGTAGTCGTAAGTGCCATATCTTAACATTAACTTACGACTATCTTAGCGCTGAGAGAGCTTCGACAATCAAGGCCCAGGTTAATATACACAGTAACATAACTATTGTATGAGCAAATACCATATTTTGTTATTTGTCTTCTTTTCAGTCGACGAACCCTACTTGGTAACATCATGCAGAATTCTATTGAATACATGACACGTTTTATGGATAACAATTTCATTTTATTCTTTATACGACGTTTCAGAGTTAACTCTTGCTCCTTCATCAGAGTAAGTGCACCAAGTGAATATATATGTGTAAACATGTTTTATAAATATATAGAAAATAAAAGAAGTTGTTATCCATAAAACGTGTCATGTATTCATGTCTGTCCAACTTCAAAATGCCTTTGAATAACTTCAGAATAATATTACAATATTTTTTATTTCTTTTGGGATAGTTTTATTCGGTTTCGAGTCATGAACACCACAAGGTAGCTGAATCTAATTATGACTCAAATCATGCATAAGCTATAAGAAAATGAAACCCCACCTGAGCAAATGTACCATCGGGTTTCTTGCATGAACAGAATTCTGCCTTCACGCACTGGCCGTTGTAATTGAGTCTCTCGCCATCGGCACATTTAGGGACAGTGATTGTCTCGTCCTTGCAGCCTGGGACACATTGTTGGGGGTTTGTGCCGTCGCAGATGTCGCCGGACACAGCGTTGCAGAGCTGGTCACAGGTGTGGGCACAGGCGTTCCACATCTCTCCGGGAGGACACACAGCTGGAAGGACAGATGTTGATATATTCTACACATTCAGCTGAATGATCCTCTCAATTGTCATTCCAAAAGGAACAACATGTATGTTCTTGATTTCTTGGATTGGCACTTTAGAAGTTGATGGATAGTTGATGAAATACGTTTCTCTCACATATAAGTATACTGTTGTGTTCATTAACGTATTTTTGACTGGTGTGTGGAATAGTGATCCCCAAAATGGTGTAAGTTAGTGCATGCTATTGCTGGAATACTGCCTCCAGCATAAAACTAAACTCATTCACTCAATCATAACAATACAGAAATGCCAGGGACTCAGTGTAAATGTGTTCATGTTTTTGAATTGGATATTCATATAGCGCACACATCCATGCGACTAGTACATGCTCAAGGCGCTGGTATTTTTTCCTCGATCATTGGATGTCAATCTCAACGGCACATCGTATTATCAGTCTCAACTCCCTGGGGACCATACAACTCTTGCATCCACTAAGCGCACCAAGTTATTGCGACTTTCTCATCCTTACGAGGTACCCATGTGGACTGGGACACATAGTCACAGTACTTTGTCCAAGTTTGTTACAGGTGTACCCCGCAACTAGGTGTTTGCACGTATTCATGTGGCCAACATCTGGTCATATACCAACGGATTCGTGGGTTCTTTAAGTGTACAGGGTTGTGTGCTGTACACTAGGGGTTGTGACAACACTGAAAGAGTCTGCACACAAAGTTGACTCCAGGCTTTTTCACACCCTGTCGCAGGTGGGCTCGATCGCGACACCTCAAGCTCGCTGGATCACTAGTCTAGCGCTTTAGCCAGCTCGCCAACCATGCCCCATTGAAGCATCTATGTGTATATAGTGAGCAATATGTTGTGTTCAGTAGTTCCTCTCTCTACATACCGGTTGTGGTTCTCTCCGAGGATGAAGTTCCTGCAGTGGCGGTGGGGACGTTAACAGAACCGGTGGTTTGGATATTTGGACCAGCAGTTGGACCTGCAGTGGGTATTGGACCTGGGGAACAAACAGTTAGTCGTGAAGAATAACATTATAATACAGTAATATGCTCGCTTACAACTCTATCGTATGGACCGATGTAATCTTTTTCATAGCCTTCGCAATTATGCATGGGGAAAGAAATAAATATCCAGAGCTACCTGAATGTGAAAAGTCAAAGCCCGAGAACAACATATTTTACCCCAAACAGATCTCATTTAGCACAAGAGGCAAAATAGCCTTTAACATTATATAACTCTATCACATAAAATATGTGATAGCACCGGGTGTCGCGAAGAAATGAAACAAATGTTACTCATTGCGTATATGTACCTTGGCATGTGTCTTCCCAGCAGAGAACCCTAACTTCATAGTCGTAACACTTGGAAGACAGCTGTTCGTTGTTGTAGCACCGGAGACCATTGTCCACATCACATGTGACTCTGCTCTGACCAGCCGCACTGGACATTGTGTTTGTGCCAGCGATTCTGCACTCAATCTGCTTCATGTTCTTGCAGACGCCATGCTTAGTCTTGATGGACTCAATGGTTTCCATGTCACCATGACCGGAGTCTGGTGTGTCGGTGTTGATCCAAGGAGACCAGTCACATCGGATAGCAATGTTCTTGTTGGTTGGTGTCAATGTCACCTGTGGGGTTCCTGGAAATATGATGCAATAGAACTCATACACACATACACTATACTCAGTGACTGACTAGATTCTAAAGGCGATTTGGACAGATCTGCAGGTGTATCCAGACCTGTCAGCTGAATGTGGGAGGACATAGCCGAGGATGCATGTGCCATTTATGACCATGGAGAAACCAACGGGCATGGTGCTGCTAAAGCTAGAAACATTCTGGGCAGACAGGATTCTAGGGTATGACGATACGTTTCTGGTGTGCTTTATACTGAAAATTGAAGTGCCTTCCTATGCGAATTGGGGAACTCTTACTTTTGTGTCTCCATCATTTGTTGTGTAATTGATATCCACTATTGATATGTCATAATTTAAATTACTCACCACTGCAATCACAGAAGTAGCGGACCTTGTAGTCGGAGCATGGCACGGGGGCGTTGTCTGCGTTGTTGCAAGTAAGACCACTCTTCATGTCGCAAGTCACCAGTTCTCCAGAGCTGTATGACGGGATGTCATTGGTGTAACATTCGATTTTGGTAACCTGGCCTCCCTTACAGAATTGAGACAACTCATCAGGAGTCATAGCCTCATGGTCTCCATTTCCTGACTCGGGCAAATCTCTGTTTACCCAGTTGGAGTAATGGCTTTGAGAACAAGATGTGACAGTAGGGCTTGCTGTTGGCTGACCGCTCAATCCTGTGCTTGGACTGGCTGATGGAACGCCGCTCTGTCCAGGGACACCTGGAGTAGCTGTTGGCTTACCACTCTGACCTGCACTTGGGCTGGCTGTTGGTAGACCACCTGCACTTGGGCTGGCTGTTGGCTGACCACTCTGTCCTGCAATGGGGCTGGCTGTTGGTAGACCACCTGCACTTGGGCTGGCTGTTGGCTGACCACTCTGTCCTGCAATGGGGCTGGATGTTGGTGTACCTGCTGTTCCTGTAGGGGGTGAAGCAGTTGGTGCACACTGACAGTAGTACATAATCCGGTAGTCACTGCATGGCATTGGGAAGTTGTCTTCGTTCCTACAGACGACACCTTGGTGCTTGTCGCAGGTCATAAGTTCTCCACTACTGTAGGACGGGATAGCATCAACAGTTTCACATTTGACTTCCGTGATCTTTCCTCCTGGGCAGAATTTAGACAACTCTTCAGCTGTCATTGATTCATAATCGCC